CGGCCCCGGGCCGGGGTCCCTCCGGCGGCCCTGCCTGAGGGGGCGGCGGGCGAGGCCCCTCCCCGGGAGGAGAAGGGTAAAATATTCCTTAGACAAGTGTCTTGGTTGCTGCCTTGCTCCTCACCGGGGATTTGCAGCTTCCCGGGTGTCTGCTGAAAACGTGACGCAGGGGAGAGGGGTCAGTGCCGGGGGTTCCTCGAGAGCAAGGGGGGCTGTTGGGGGGTGCGATGGTCACAGGCCCTCCTGGGGTCTTGGAGAGGTGAGGAGGAGCATCAGCAGCGCTGGCCAATTGGGCTTGGGGCTGGCAGGCTTTGCCCTGTTCCACAGGCTGGGCACATCCCTCGGGGGGCAGCCCTGGGGGGCAGAGGAGGCCAGGAGGGCTGGGTGTTCCCAGGATGCTTCCAACAGGCACAGCAGCAGCTGTGCCCTCTGCTGGGAGGCAGACCCGCCTGGCTGAATAAAGAAACCTGCTGGCAACTCGGGGGGCCTTTGGAAAAAATGGCAGGTTGCTCAGAGTGACTTCAAGGATGTCAAGAGGCTGTGCAGGGCGTCAGAAGGACCAAAGCCCAAACTGGAAACCAATCTGGCTCTGCAGCTGTCAAAGATGACAGGAAATGCTTCCCTAAATACACTGACAACAGATGGAGGGTTAAGGAGAATCTCTGTCCTTTATTGGATGCAGGGGAAACACGGTGTTTGGGGATGAGGAGAGAGGTGAGGTGCTTAGTGCCTTCCTTGCCTCAGCCTTGAGTAGCATGACCTGTTGTTCACTGGGTCCCCAGACCCTGGGTGCTGGAAGACAAAGCTGGGGAGCAGTTTGAAGCCCCCAGAATCTGGTGCCTAATATTTGATTGTGGAGGCGAGTGCCCCTCAAGCAGCAGCTTGAGGGAGAGGCATCAACCTCTCCTGTGCAGAGCTCCAGGTCTGGCACCTCAGATTCCACGGGTCCCTCTTGGCCGACAAGGAGCTGAAAAGGCCTCGGGCAGAGGGGGCAGAGGCCATTTCTGCAGCTCCACTCCAGGATGCACAGCAAACAGCCCCTGTGCCAGCACACACTCCCCAAGGCCTCCCTGAGGATGGAGTCCTGGCAGACTGGGCAGCCCAGGGGCTCCGAGGAAGGCAGCGGTGTGGCCTGGGGCACCTGGCTGGTGCTGGCAGCAGGAGAGGTGCCCTGCTTGGTTCTGCTCTGGGTCCCACCCTGCTTTACCTGCTAAATGTGCCTGTTGCCAAGTGCCAGCTGAGGGAAACTCTGGAGTTTGCTGAGGGAAACATAGCAGGGAGCCAACTGCTAGACAGCTCCATTAGTCTTTTGCCCCTCGATGTGGGTCGGGTGAGCAATTTGCACATCTCCAGGAGAAGAGGAGGTGAAAAGGCCCCTGGCAGAGGGGAGCCTTGAGTGCAATGGAATTTGCTTTAACTTTTGGTCAGCCCTGAGGTCGTTGGGCAGGACTAGATGATGGTCGTAGGCTTCTTCCAGCTGCGCTCCTCTCCTCCTCCTGCTCTTCTCCTGCTCCTCCCCTCCTCCTCCTGCTCCTCTCCTCCTCCTGCTCCTCTCCTCTTCCTCCTTTTCTCCTCCTCCTGCTCCTCTCCTCATCCTGCTCCTCTGGTCCTCCCTGCCTGATGCTTAGGAGACTTCAGGTCAGTGCCTGGCACAGAAGCTCCCTTGACCAGCAGTGCTCTCAGCCTCTCCTCATCAGAGAGGTACTGCAGTCCTCTCAGCACCCCTGTGGCCCCATCTTGGGCTCTCCCCAGCTCTAGACACAATGCACTTGCCAAATGGGGCTCTCCCTCCCCCCCCCCTCCCAACTGGGGGCTTGTGTCTTCTGGGTGTGGTCACCAACAGCATTGTGACGTCACCAGAGGGTCACAGTGACACTCCTTTTAAGGCTGGGGCAGCCCAGAAGGGTGACATTGGGGTCCTGACTCCGGGAGGGCAGTTGTCTGCATGTGGGGGGACGAGGGACCCCCATCCCCCAAGCTGCCTCCTGAGGGCGCAGAGAGAATCTCCTGAGCAGGGACGGTGGAAGGGCCAGGGGTGCTGGTCCTGACCTGCTGCATCCCCATCCTTCTGCTGGAAAACACTTCTTGGCCTTCCCAGTTCCTGCCTGTGTGTCTCAGAGAGGTCAGTCATAGATCTAGCTAATCCTAGAGTGGTTTCAGTTGGGAGGGACCTTAAAGCCCATCCAGCCCCACCTGCTGCCACGGGCAGGGCCACCTCGCACTAGACCAGGTTGCTCCAAGCCCCATCCAGCCTGGCCTGGAAGCTGCTCTAAGGTCTCCCTGGAGCCTTCTCTTCTCCAGGCTGAACACCCCAACTCTCTCAGCCTGGCTCCAGATCTGCTCCAGCCCTCAGATCATCTCTAGCCTCCTCTGGAGTCACTCCAAGAGCTCGTGTCCTTCTTTTGTTGGGGGCTTCAGAGCTGGGCACTGTTCTCCAGGTGGGGTCCCACGACAGCAACACATTGCCAGCCCAATTCCACAGTCACTGCCCTGCCCGGAGAGCAGGAGCACACGGGGACCCACCTGGTGTCACCTGCAGGTTGTGTCTGTGGGGCAGGTGATGAGCTTTGGATCTCTTCTGCTTGCAGCACGGGATGGCGTCTGAGGAGGAGCGGGCAGGGCAGGGAGAGCAGGAGCAGGCAGGGCAGGGAGAGCAGGAGCAGGCAGGGCAGGGACAGCAGGAGCAGGCAGGGCAGGAGCAGAGAGAGCAGGCAGGGCAGGAGCAGAGAGAGCAGGCAGGGCAGGAGCAGAGAGAGC